GTTCTGCCCCAAACCATCCTATGATATATAAAATATCCATGCATGTCGCTTCTGCCCTATTTTACAGAATAATGACAGGTCAGTGCCCCCTGTAGACAAACCCGAGCAGCAGCAGTGATGCCACAAACATCGAAAATGGAACGGAACTGGCACAGTTCCAGGCTGCAGAGCAGCTGATGTCACTGCCCTTCCCAAATTCCCGACTGTCCCCGTGTGCGGCTCTGAGACAGGATTTCACAAATTCCACAAGGACAGGACAATTTTGGAGGACTGAGAGGTGGAAAGCGATGCTTCAGCTACAAGAACCTTGTTCCAAATGAGAAGAAAACCCTTAAAAGTCAGGAGGAGCTGGAGGGATCCCCATCCTTAGGTTTCCTTTCTAGATTTCTGCAGGTTTTTCACCAGGTTCCCTCCTCGTGGGGGACTCCCTCAGGCCGCCTGGAATGCAGCCCAACTGGTTTCAAAAGGAACATGAACTACCTGCTTCTGCAGCTCTGAAACAATTCCCAAATTACACTTCACTGCTTCCATTGTAATGCAGAAAATAATTCAAAAGGAAAAAAAYGTATTTTTAATTGGTGTGAATGTTATGTGAACCATAATGTGCCTGAGCAGAAGTTCAAGGCTTGGGAAAATCCTCCTTTTTTTTTTTTTTTTTTTCTCTCTCTCAAAAACCATTAGTTTGGTCCTGGCAGAGTGGCAAAAGTTTTGAAAAGGTGAGAGAAAATTACAACAAAATCCGTGATCTGGCAAAAGGCAGCCAAGCCTCACCTTTCTGATGTGTGGAATATTTCAATCACGTGTGTCTATTAATGCCAAAAGTCCCCAAGTAATTCCTCCCTAAAGCTTGCCATATGTTGTATTTCAATATCATAGAAAATGATCAATTTTCCTGCCCGTGGGAGCCCAGGTGAGCTTGAGGACGTGGCCGTGGCCAGGTAGAAAAGCAGAATTTTCTGCTCTGATTGATGCRGAGCAAAGAAAGGACTCAACAATAGGACAGAGTTTGGAAAATCTGCTTACCTTGAGTGCRGCCGTGCCCTGTCCTGCAGGAAGAAGCTCCTCAGCCACGTGTTGGGAATGATGAAAGCGGGGCCAGGTGGCTGCCAGCCCTGCCCAAGCTGAGGAGGAGCTGTGGGCACACACTGGGCACACACTGGGCACTCACTGGGCAGCAGGAAGGGACAGCAGAGCAGGGCTGGGATGAGTCACCTACAGCAAACAAAAACACCCAGGAACACCGTGACTGCAGCCTGGCAGGGGCTGTGCAGCCAGGACAGGCAGGGTTCCAGCCCTGCGGGCTCTGGGGACAGCTCTGTGTGATCCTTTCTGCCACTCGGTGCCTGAGATGAGTGGGAAAAGCAAAATAATTCACAAAAGTAGCTAAAAAAAAACATTCAGGGAGGGGAGAGCCCAACAATGGCACCAGGTGAGCAATGGCAGCCTGGCTGGGGAAAGGCTCTGGCAGGGAGCTGAGCTGTCCGTTCTGCTGGGCTTGTGCAGAAAAATCCAGGGTATTGCAAGGGAAAAGGCACAGCAGAAAAAGCCAGGGCACTGTGAGGGAAAAGGCACAGCAGAAAAAGCCAGGGCACTGCGAGGGAAAAGGCACAGCAGGAGCTTTAATGCCCAAAGAAAAGCCAAGACTTGGAGGAGCTTCCAAGGTGCTTCAGCAGGAGAGCACAGGCAGGGCTGCAGGAGCAGGTGAGCAGAAAGAAAATGCAAAAAATGCCAAAAATGCTTTTGCAAAAGCCACGAAAAGCCAAAGCAGCAGCAGTAGCAGAACTGCACATCAGGGATGTTTGAAGGGTATGAAGGAGTTACCTGGGCAGCCTGCAGGAGCCAGAGCTGGTGCAATGAGGTGCTGCTCRCCCAGCCCGGCAGCTCTGCCCCCACGGTCACCCCAGGGAGGGCTCACAAACACTGGGTGCAAACACAGCYAGGGTGGAGCAGTCCCGTGCACCTCGCCAGCCCTCTCCAGGTGTTTTCTGTTCCCAGCTCTCTCTCCACCCAAACTTGTTCCAGGGCAYTTCGATTCCTGCATTCCCTCGATTGTGGGAATGGTGACATTGTGYTGGACACCTCCAAACCTCTTCCAAACACAAACTTCTCCCAAAATGTCAGAAAAAACCCCAATCCTTTTGCTGGCGTGCTGTGGTCAGAGTGGTTTCTGAAGCCCTTGCAGAGCTGACAGCCTGACCAGGGGTTGGGATTTCAAAGCCACTGTCACCATTTGCTGTCCCTCAGGTGAATCACAGAGCCCACACTCACGCTGGGGGTGTCTGCAGCAGGGAGAGCTTTTTGTTCTCAGTTTTCCCAGCACCTCAAACTTGGCTTTGGGGAGTGAAGTTTCCACATGCAGCCAAAACACCAAGAAAAAAAATCCCTTATTTCACAGTTTGAAAGGAACCCCATGGCAATCCCTGGGGTCATTTTCCTGGTTGCCTCACCCGTATCACCCAGCTGGTGCCTTTATTTCAGTGCTGCTTTATGGGGCTGGGTGTAATTCTGTTCTCAGCYGTGATAAAGGAAGGAAAACAGAGCTGTCACAAGGAAAAACAGACCTGTGCCAGCTGAGGAGGGTGTGAGGTGTTTCAGGGGTGATGAGGAACCTGCAGGATGGAAACAGAGCAGGAACTGGCTGCATGCAGCATCTCTACAGTGAGGGGATATCCCAATCCCTCATCCCCTCCAACACGGGGTCTAGAGCATCTTTGGCATCTTCTCCTCAGTGTAAATCCCTGCCTGCTGCAAATTCAGGTGATACCCCATGAGTTCAGGGCCAAAATCCCAGCCAGAGACACAGCATGGTTTGGGATGGTCTCTGCAYGGCTYACGTGGTGCTGGCAAYKGRWTTWMCCMARGG